AGAGAGAGAGAGAGAGAGAGAGAGAGAGAGAGAGAGAGAGAGAGAGAGAGAGAGAGAGAGAGAGAGAGAGAGAGGGCTAGTTTTCATAACGTGCAGAAGTGATTCTTTAAGTCTGAAATGTCAAATTGAAAAACAGTCGAAAATAATAGCGAGGAAGAGCCGAATTTTCCGCTATTCGAACAAGTTTTACGTGGAAGTTACCACCGCGAGAGAGGGCAGAAAAAAGGACGCTTACCTTTTGTTATGAATTTTTTACTGAGGAAGACCGTTTCCGCTCTCCGTTTCCCGCTTCCTTCCGTCTCTCCCCTCCAAGGGAAAAAGAACCTCACCAGTTTGCTAACTCTGTCGTGCTTGCCCTGCTGTGCCGCCCTGGTTGTCTATCGTCTTCGGTACTGCTCCCTTTAGCTTCCTGATGCATGCGCTACCGTCTTCTTCCAGTAGAATGCGGGGTCATTGTGGCGGCCTTACGGACGCCGTTGGAACGTGTGGAGGAGCAGGATATGCTATGTAACCTTCTGTTTTCGATGCAAGCAATGTGTAGGCAAGCTTATGATGTCAATATGTTTCAGTGGAAGTGAGGAAACGGCGTCCATAAAAAGCAATCTGATGTTTCTTTCTTTGTTTACCTGGAAATCAATTTTTTTGTTTACCTGGAAATCAATTTACTTTCCTGGAAATCGAGGTAATCTTTTCTGGATAGGAAGCTACCTCGTCCGGAGATCAGGTTATTTTGTCTTGGGATTAAGGCTTGGTTCTCCTGGAAATCAAGTTACTTTCCTGGAAATCAAGTTACTTTCCTGGAAATCGAGGTAATCTTATCTGGATAGGAAGTTACCTCGTCCGGAGATCAGGTTACTTTGTTGTCTTGGGATTAAGGCTTGGTTCTCGAAAAATGTCGTTCGAAACCTCGTCTGGAGGTCAGGGTACTTTGGGCCTCGCTGCACTACACTCTCGAAATGTGCAAAATGAGAATAAATCGTCCAACAGCACCATATTTTTGTCTTTTGTGCATGTGGAGAGTAGTGCAGCGAGACACTTTGTCTTGGGACTAAGGCTTGTGTACTCCTGAGATCGACTTTCAAGCGAACAAGGCTCCACTGCTCACTAGCTATATGCTTTTCGTACTCGAAAGATGTACTTGGAAACCTCGTCTGGAAATCAGGGTACTTCGTCTTGGGAGGATTAAGGCTTGTCCTCCTAAGAGCGACTTCTGAGTAAACGGGGCTGCACTGCTCATTAGCGGTTTTGTGCATTTACAGTGAAGTCGGCGCTCAGCCGGGAATCATCTCAGTTTAGATTGAGATGAGTGCATTCCGAGCCTCTGCTTCCTCGTTCCGCGGAGTGGAGAAGCGAAGCAGGTATCTCTCCGGCGAAGTTTTTCATCCTCGAGTCGTGTTACAAGCAGTGTCCAATCTCGGCCATCCGATCGCGTAGTGCCCCTGAGAAGATGGCGTTGGTGGACTGTGGAGCCTCGCGCATTAGTACGATTCTTGCGATTTGGGGAAGTTCCCCAGAGCAACTCGGTGGAGCGCAAACCTAAGTCTGTAACTAACAAGCGGAGGAGATCAGGGATGGCGAGGAGAGAGAGCCCATGGTGTGTTTCTTATTCACAACAATAGGGTTGATCATTCACAACATCACATTGTCTATGGACTTCTGTCCTTGTTGCACTTACCTTCCTATGGCTTCTCCTCCCGATTTTCACCCCTCGCGTTGCACGTCGTCGGCGGTCTCTCCCTCCCTGACTGCCCGGAGGTTGCGGAATCAGTCAGTGATTACGCTGGCCTGCCTTGTGCGTATGGTGGTCTGTTCGGGTAGCCAGGGGTTGTGGGCTTTGTGAGGCGGAGCGAGCCGCGTGGTTTACGTGCACCGTGCATGTTTGGTTCTCTGCAGGAAACGATGGGAATATTAATCGGACTACCGTTCGTTCTCTCTCTGTGTAAGAAAGGAACCAGTCGTTCTCTGTCTGTGTAAGAAAGAAACCAGTCGTTCTCTCTCTGTGTAAGAAAGAAACCAGTTGTCCTTTACTGAAACGGAGAGCAATCGATCAGTTTACTACCTGGCTTTGTTTGTGTGACCGCGAGGGACGAAGTAAGTGTAGTGTGAGCGGTGTGAATGTGTTTCTTTTTTTGGTTGGGGGGGNNGGGGGGGTTGTTAAAAATGTATTGCATTTCTAGAGTATGTTGCGTAGATGGTCGTGCTTTACAGAGCGAGAGAAACCTGCTCTGCTTACACCGATATAGGTCCGCTGCATGGGTCGAGGTTGGCGTTGACTTCTGTCCCGGTTGTGTTGCGGTCTTTTTTTCCGACCCTCGATTTCCCTGGACAGAGATCTGATCACGGGAATGGATGGATATGTGCGTTTTAGAGCCATCCCGGTGATCGAAAGGAAAAGGAATGGAGGTGTAATTAAATGTCTCCGTTTTATGCTTTGGCTTTTTGTTTTCCCGCCCGATCGTGGTGATGGGGTCTGTTCCATCATCTCCATCATCTTTGTATCCGTCAGAATTTGAACCTGTGATGAGTTTTATCATCAGCTTCACGCGTGTACCATTCGGTGACCACCCAGCAGCCTCCTGTGTTCTTGTTTGGTGATAATGCGGACAGAGAAACCGGGAGGTGCAACCGAGTGGAAGAGAATAGAGCGGGAGCTAAGAGAAGAAATAGACGAGGAAAACCGTGAAAAGCCAAAGTAGGGTAATGAGAGAACGAACTGCACAGGAAAAGGCAAGAACGTGTTTCAGAGCGTTTCGTTCTGTCTGCTATTTTCTTCGTTTGTTTTGCAAAAATGCCCTCTTTTAGTTGATAGGTATGTGTGTGAAGTGCCCCTTTTCTCCCTTTCTGCCTCTACGGTTCACCGGGCAGTTCTCTATGACGGCAGGCGCATGCGCTTCCTTTTGGCAGATTTTACGTTCCCTCTTTTTTTCTTCTTTTTTTAATCTTTTGTTGGCCATTTGTCCCTGATGTGGAATGGCATCTGTATATTGCGGCGGGCCCTCTGGCGTGGTTCCGTTTCTTGTACTGTTGATTATATTTGGATTGTTACTCCGTCTCTGTTGGTAGTGCCGAAAGCTTTCTCTGTCCTACAAGTGAGGTTTGGTTTCCTCCTTTTTTTTGACCTCTTTGCGAGTGGGTCCTTGTGACACACGGGGATGGGGGCAGCCGGTGCTCAACCATCATCATCCACGTAGCCGACCTTGTACGTAAGAGGTGATGAACAGGCGCGGAGCTTTCCAACCTTACTTCTTTCCTTCTTCTCCGTTTTGTTTTTTTCGCCTTTGCGCTCCGATACACTGTGTGACTTCGTCATAGAGAACTGCCCGGTGAACCGTATATATGTAGGTAGGCATACGGAAGTTTGCCTGATTCATTTGCCCTCTGTCCTCGCTGAAGGTTCGTCTCCTTCAATTGTTACCACGTGTACGATATATAGTGTATATATGTGCTAGTTTATAAACTTCACCTATGCATATATGGTGAAAGATATAGCTGAAGGCAGAGGAAGGACACGAGCGAGAGCGGGTAGGAAGTAGGGGGATACATCCTGCTAATAATCACGTATGAAGGCCTAAGCTGGTTATGATCTTAATGCGGTCGGTAGGAGCAATTATTGATTTTTTTTGGAAAGTGCTTTAAGGTAGGTAGAAGTCCAAGTGGGTTGAACAGGGCGGCTTTCTGAGGACACTGAACAGAGATGGAGAAGACATGAGTAGAAGGCGATAGCGGGCGGGACAGCCGAGGAGACGAGAAAGGCTACGGAGGACGTGAAAAGAGTGGTGGAAAAGTTGCAGGGCGAGATTGAGGGCTTGGCGGCAAGTATTATGGAGTTTAGGGAAGAGAGAGGAGGAAGGAAGAGAGAGAAAGGAAGTAGGAAACATAGTTAAAGAGGGTGGAAAACGGCAAAGGAAGCATCAAGCATCAGGAGGGGGCGGAAGGTGGTAATTGGTAGGGGGGGGGATCGAGACGAAAAGAGGTGGTGTAGAGGAGGGGTGTAAGGGGGGAAGGAGGGACTATGAAGACGAATGGCCGGCGAGGCAGAGTGGCAATGACAAGTGGAGGTGGCGGTGAGACGAGCCCTATCCTGGTCGAAAAAAAGAGCAAATGCGGCAGGCGGACCTCCGTATGAAGGAGGTATGAAGAGTAAGAGAGAACATGAGGAGGAGACCTAGAGCGGAGAGGAAGGCCGGGGAGTTGAGGTCGAAAACACCGAAAATTTGAGGAGCAGGATGCTGGAGCATAAGAGACAGGATGAAGAGACGAAGGGAGAGAAGGCGCAGACGAGAAGAGGAGGAGCTCCCCACGAATAGATTGGAGCATTTTGTCAAAAAAAAAAAAAAAAAAGAGAGAAGAGGAGGAGCTGAAATGAGGGTATGTTTTTATTTTATCCCACCGAACCAATGGGGAGGAGACTGGCGAGACCGAACGCAGAGGAAGAAAGAGAGGAAGGCTGGAGGCCACGCAAGGGAATGGGAAGTGATGGTGGAGAAAGAAAGCAAGAAAGAAAAATGGTTAAGCACACAAGACAAAGGAAGAGGAAGACGTAGAGAAGGCAAAGGAGAGCTTTCCGAAATGCACGCGCACAGAAGGGAAGTCTACCTCTTGCAGATGGCAAGATGCAAAGAACAGAAAAGATGTCTGTCTGGTCAATGTGAAAAGGACAGAGGATCGGTTGTGGTGCGATGGATCCTCTGTCGTCATCGTCGACCGCACAAGCGGCATGCGACCTGAGAAGAGACTTGTTCGGGGTCGGGGTCGGGGTCCAGTCGGCCGAAGTGGGGACAGCAGCTGCATTGATAACTGTTGTCTTGGCAGCTTGTCTGAAGTGCTGTCTGTCCTCCACGTGGACCGCACTATCATCAGAGTAGATGAGTTGATGGTCTTTTGTCTAAGGAAGGAACAGATACTAGACTTGATCTATAATCTGTATCTTATCTTAGCCAAAAGGCCAAGAGATCTATTCTTGGAACTTTCTATCGGTATGTTGGGCTCTCTTTTTTTTTTTTTTTTTTTTTTTTTTGTCAATCGTAACACATACATTGGCCCCGCGTTTTGCATGTGGGTGGTCCTCATGTAGGATTGTATGGATGCCCGGATTTCATGTAGGATTGTACGGATGCCCGGTCCTCGTGTAGGATTGTACGGATGCCCGGTCCTCATGTAGGATTGTACGGATGCCCGGTCCTCATGTAGGATTGTACGGATGCCCATCCTTTCAGTTGGTACTCGAGAACATTTACAGGTAATGAACTCATAGCGGCGGCGGCTGCTACTGACTTTCCTGGGGGACACATGTTAAAAGTAGTAGTAATGAAATTGAGATAGCACCCCTTTTCTCTTGTCTTGACGGCCTTCCCCTCTCCTCATGGGTTTATCTTTCCGTGGCGCTTTGTGTTGCCCGCCGTTTTTTTACCCCTTTTTGGCCGTTGCCCTATTGGCTGATTGCACACAAATAGTTACGTGTTTAGTAGGGGGCGGAAGGGGGGAAACTCACGTTTTCCGCAGCCAGATAAATATAAATGTGAACTCAAATGAAACGGATGTGAGCTGCAACGACAGTGCTTTTTCTTTTTCCCATTCGCCTTTTTTTTTTTTTTGTCTACTTCCCTGATTCCACTTCGTTTCTCCTTCCCCCCCTCTTTTACCTTTCCCATCCTCTTTCATCCACCATCTTTTGGCCAATGGGGGAAACGGTTTCCACTCGAGAGGTTTGGATCTCCTTTCTACTCGATCTGCACATTCACAGGACCAACATTCAGGTTAGCTTGGTTTGAACCGTTTGCTCGCCATCGTTCCATGTGGGAGTACAACTTCAGTATTCTCCTTCTCTCTCTCTCTCTCTTTCTTGCTCTTCTCCCCAGCTCCGTTTTACTCTCTCTCTCTCTCTCTCTCTCTCTCTCTTTCTCTAACTTCCTTCTTGGGGCTCACTTTTTGATTCACGTGCCCCTCTGTCTGCGTTCTCTACCTGTTGTCGTGCAGAGGGTTTGAACTGTCTCGAATAGTAGTGGCACCGGTATCTATCTGTTTTATGTGATCTTTCTATTTTCTGCTCCCCCTCTCAAGTTCGTCTTATATCTCTATATTTTATCTGCTATGGTGTGGTGTGGGGAGGCGAGGGGAGGAGGGAAGGGAATGATTTAGAGAGGGGGATGGTGGGGAGGTGAGTCTCTTGGTGTAGTTCGAGGCTTTCATGCTCGTGTTCCTGTTTTTTTTTTAACTTTGTTTTTTTTGTGGCAATTTTTTTTGTTTGGCAGATGGTGACGGGTTCATTCAAGAACGGCGTTTGTGTCCAGACACCCATTGGCCATGCAGATAAATTGACCGTTGCGGGAACTGCGGTCATGGACCTTGCAAAGGTGGCGTCTTGTGCACAGCTCCGCCTGGAGCACATTGACGTTCCAATCACCTGCCTTCCTCCGTTTGGTGACGTCAAAGATGCTTTCCTTGTGGTACGTGTTCTTTCCTCTCCTTCTTTCTTGTCTCCCGGTCCTGTCTCAACTGAAGGTGTTCCCACTTTTTGTGTGACCACCCCTTCAAAGATTATAATCGGGATTAAACCACCACTGCATATTTGAGTCCAGAGGGCGGTTTCTTGGTAACGACTTTCAGTGTGAAGGGTCGGGGAAAAAGCAACGGCCCCCTTGCTTTTGGTTTTGTGGAGGCCACTGGTCGTTCTTGTGCATGACTGGAAGGCAGGTAGAGAAAAGAACATTGTAGGGAAGTCGGGCACCTTTTTCTTGAGGCCGACTGAAGTCCGTGAACGTCCTAGTGTGCAAAGTGCAGGTGGTTTACCTCACCTGTGTACTCGCACGTGCACACACACACACACGGCTTATGAGTCAGTGGAATTCGGACAATACAATCTGTAACAGTCATCCTCCCCCCCCCCCCCCCCCCCCCCCCCCCAAACCCAACAAAAATCCTCTCTCACTCTAAAAAATCTCTCTCTTTGAGAAACGACGTGAATCTTCCCGCGAAAGCGGGAAGATTCGTTTCTCAAAAAGAGAGAGAGAGAGAGAGAGGGGAGAGAGGGAGAGAGGGAGAGAGAGGTAGGGGGAGAAAAAGAGAGAGAGAGACTCTCTCTCCCCCCCCCCCCCCCCCCCCAACACACACACACACAGAAAGAGAGAGAGAGAGAGGAGAGGATGGGGAATGGAAAATGGGACAGGATGGTAAGGAGATGACGGAAGATGGCTATCTACAGAAGTACGTGCGAAAACATAGGAGGTAATTGAAAAGTCGATTATGCACGGACAGACACACACACACACACACACAAACCTCCTGATGAGTTGGTGAAAGTCCGACGAAACAGTCTCTCTGGCACTGTCATGCTTTTTTTTGAGTGTATAGCGAATATGACAACACACACGTGCAGAGGGTGTGGAAGTGGTGGGAAACAGTGCGTTGTGATATGGTGTCAGGAAAAGACGGCAAAGAATGGCAAGAGGGCAACACAAGCAGGAGTATTGAAGGGGGAAATGTGAGGGTAGCCGCAGGTGGAGGTGAAATATGACGAGGCCGGATATGGAGTTGGGCTAGATGATCAATAGTGGCGAGGGGGCAATATGAGCAGGAGTGTTGGGAGCGGGAATGCGGAACTGTGCGTATATCATGATGAAGGGGTTAGGACAGATGATGGGGTTTAGGAAAGATGACCAATGATGACGAGGGGGCAATTTGAGCAGGAGTGTTGAGAGGGGGAATGTGAGGTATCATGATCTTAAGTGGTAATTGGAATGCGTGAGTTGGTGCTGCCTGGAAAGGCAGATATAGTACCTCTGAAGTCTTGTGACCATGTGGCTCTAACAAATGATAAGATGAAAGGTGTGGAGATTTGAGGGTGTCGTGGGACACATCCATGTTATTGCAGAAAAGTGACGAGTTGTGATGAAGATTGCAGACATGTGACATGATTATTTGTGGATGATATATATGCATCATGGGGCTGAGGGGTGTAGTGGTGGTGATGTTGCCGTCTACATCACTGACATCCCCTTGTGCCCCCCATCCAGGGTGGAGTAGGTTTTTCACCACGTGGCTGAGGAGGGGCTACCGTCTTCCCCCGAACATAACACATTCTTATGATGACTGTATCGGACCGGCAAGATACCTTGTTTATATTCAAAATCAGGGTGTGTTGTGTTCGGGGAATGGGGAAGACAGTAGTCTCTCTTTCAAAATTAAACCACTACTTCCTGGGAGGGCGCCACTACTTCCTGGGAGGGCATCCTTTTCGCTGGTGACTCCTACAATAGGCCTGGGTTTACTACAATAGGCCTGGGTTTACTACAATCGGCCCGGGTTTACTACAATAGGCCCGGGTTTACCCCTGCTGGAATGCCAGAAACTTGGGTTTACTACAATCGGCCCGGGTTTACTACAATAGGCCCGGGTTTACCCCTGCTGGAATGCCAGAAACTTGTACTGTGTCTGTTGTTACTAGACTTGGCATGTCAGCTCTGGAAGCAGTGGCATCTAAGTGAGCCCTGTGAATGGGTGGTGATGACATGCATACTGTGGATGGAACTGAGTGCATTTCTGCCGTGACAATTGGGGAAATTGTCGTGGTAGTGTGTTGAAAGAGTTGAAATTCTCATCACATGCCGTAGATTTCACTGATGTCACATTCCGGTGTCTCATAAGTTGAGCCCGTTTTCAAGTTTCTCTGTTCTCTTTGTTTTTAGCATCCCCAGCCTCTGCCCTTTCTCTGTTTCCCTGCTCTTACCGTCTCAGTGGATATGTTTTTGTTCCCCCTCCCACCTTAAGAGTATTGGTCCATGTAAGAAGCCTCTCTTGCTAGCAGGCATTTGTTTCCCCTTGTACTGCGTGTGGTGTGTGTTTGTGTTTGTGTGTGTGTGTGTGTGTGTGTGTGTGTGTGTGTGTGTGTGTGTGTGTGTGTGTGTGCGAGAGAGAGAGAGAGAGAGAGAGAGAGAGAGTCCAATTTCTTTCCAGGGACCCTGGTAATATGGATAGCCAAAGTCAAATGTCAACAGCGGGGAAGTCTCGTCTGTATCCCAGAGCAGACAAGTTAATTCTGTCTGTATCCCACATCTACTGACTCTAACCCTGTTTGACTCCAAAGACTGGACTGAACCACTCTGGCTGAAGCTTCCTGATCCGTGGCTTGGACCTGGCCACTCTCTCTCTCTCTCTCTCTCTCTCTCTCTCTCTCTCTCTCTCTCCCTCCTCACACACCCTCTCCCCCTTGCTTTCTCCCTGTCTGTGTCTAACTGTTAATCTGTCTTCCTGTCTCTCTCTCTCCCCCACCTTTTTCCCTCTCTCGCTCTCTGCCTCTTTTCTGTCTGACCTCCCCTTTCCCTTGTTTCTCCTCCTCTCTCTCATGCACGGTTACAATGTGTTATCTTTTTTCCCTTTCACTTAGAAAAATAATGTCTTGTAGTTTCTCAGTTTGCCTCGCTTTGTGCTCACCAATTTAGCTTTTTGCTTAAATCTGCCGAATTATGTTGCACTCTACACTAGTGCTTCAGAGAGGTGCCAGAGACGGCGCTTTTTCAGCTTACTCATCCTGGTGGCAGGCTTATGAGGTCCGTTTTTGTTTTGTGCGATGCTCGGATTCGAGTAAGCGGCAAGATTTCAAGAGAAGTTTAGAGAAACATTAAGTTACTGAATTTGTAGGTTCTCAGGGCAGTGTGAGTTTTTTCTTGTGAAAGGGAAATTGCTTCTACTACCAGATGGTAAGTTGTGGTGCTATGCTCCACAATGCAGCCATCCCCATGTGTATTGATATTGATATACTTGAACACACATGCAAATGAATTAGAAAGCGCATCACAAATATATTTAACATCCGTCCAAGTTGGTCTTATCGGTCCTGCAGCAAATGTGTGTGGACAGTGGTTGGCTGCCTTCCTCAGCAACTGGTTGGTCAGGCTTGCGAGTTTGTTCACTGGAGTAGGCTCTGTTAAACCACCAGTACCTCCACGTTTGTAGGCCGTTAACACGGTGGCTGAATCGGTGCGCCGCAGGGGTCAATGTGCATTTGCGTCAGAGCCTCCCCAGAGGGGGCCTAAGTCCCCGTGGGGTACTGGTGGTTCAATCCTCACAACTTGCCCCTGCGCACTCAGAAAGTGACTCCTTTTACGGGCACTCTCTCTGGAGATTCTAATCGCGAGGGGGGGGGGGGGGAGGGGAGTCTTTGTCGTCTCTTCGCAGTTTATACTTCTTGGCGTTTGCTGCGAAAGTCCAAAACGTACAAGATTTCGTAAATATCAGAAAACAAATCTGATTGAGTGGTGAGCCCGTGTCCTCGTCTCTCTGTTCAAAATTGAAAGGCCTTTAATATGTCGTAAGGACAGTAGAACATGGCATTCATGTGAAACAGTTGGATCCGAATTATGGTAATGAATTAAAAAGAAAGGTCTGAGCTATGCAAGAGAGAGAGAGAGAGAGAGAGAGAGAGAGAGAGAGAGAGAGAGAGAGAGAGAGAGAGAGAGAGAGAGAGCTCTAAATGAACAATGTAGTTAGAGGTTCACTGTCACAGCATAACCATATTGTCAAAATCACGAAGCCAAACTTGTGCAGAGACCTTCTCCTCAACGCTACTCAGTCTGCTTGAGAGGGTATCCGCACTCCTCGAGTACTCATTTCCACTCGTCCCACAGGGCCTGCAAACTGCAAGTAAACTCCTGCCTGACGTGTTAATACATACTCAAAACGTTTCGTGCGTACCCTCAATACTCGCGTGTGCCGCGAGGCCGCTTGGACTATGGTCTAAACCATTCAGTCGAATACCAAAAGGAAAATTGAAAAAAGACAAAAAATCAAAGGTAATATGATGCAGGAACCAAGTCGCGTAGTGCCAGAGGATTGCGTCGCAATTGATGGCCCAGTGGATATCTCAGAGTCTCTCTCTCTCTCTCTCTCTCTCTCTCTCTCTCTCTTTTCATTGGGGGGAGGAGGCTCAGCCAGTGGTAGCAAAGCCCACTTAAGGGAAGGGCAAGGATATTACGGGTTGTGGACATATGACTCTTTGTTCCGAGAGTGTGGAAAGCTCAGATTAGGTTGGTGTATTCCTCCTACTCGTCGGTTGTTTTCCTTGTGTATACGTTGTTCATAGAGGTGGAAGCCGTACTTGCTTACCGTCAGAGGCAGCTCCTTAAATCTGTCAATCGACCCTCATCCCGTTCCCCTCGTCTATATGCTGGCCTTCATTGTGGATTGACTTATTGACAGTCGTCTCCATTTAGTGATCTATGCAGCTTTGTTTTCTTCCTAGAATAGGGAATAGGGTTAACTAACTATGTCCTGCTACGTCCTCAGCGTAAGAGGGGAGGATGGGGGGAGGAGGTGTTCCCTTAGAGCTACATGCTTTTGACTTACTGCATTGGCATGCGTTCTTCTGGCCTGGCTTCACCTCAACTTTCCTCCGAGTTCCTTTCTTATGTCAGCTATGCACGATAGCAGGACCAAAGAAAGGAATCAGAGA